CTTTCGCGTCCCGGATCAGGAGAGGAAAAACAAACAGACAAAAACAGTAACAAAAAAAAAAGAGAAAAAATAAATAAATAGAAATATTTCTGCCATTGGTAAGGCTCATGACAAAAAAAAAAAAATTTTTTTTTTTTTGTTTTTTTTTAATAGCATGTTTTTAACAAAAGCTTAAATGTACGTCTGTTCGTTCGTTTGTTTGTTTGCTGTTGTTTGTAGTTGTTCAATTATGTTATTGGATCGCAGTGGTAGTAATGATTTTAATATGATAATTGCAACAATTATGCAATCATTGCAATGGTGGTTATGATAAAAAATATAGAAATTATAGCAGCAATGATACTAAAAATAGTAATAAAAATAATAATAATAACAATAATAATAACAATAATTTCAATAATAATAATGATAATAATAATAATAATGATAATAATAATAATGATATTAGTAATAAAAAAATAATAATAATGAATAATAATAATAATAATAATTGTAATAATAATAATAATGATATTAATAATAATAATAATAATAATAATAATAATGATAATAGTAATGATGGTCATCATCATAATAATAATGATAATAATAATAATAACAACAATAATTTTAAAAGTGAATAATAATAGTTATAATAATTATAATAATTATGATAATAAATAAGTATAAATATAATAATGATAGTAGTATTAATAATAAAGAAGATAATAATAATGAAAATAATTATAATAATAAAATCATTAACAATATTGATAATGTCCATATTAACAATATTAATGATACAGATAATGACAGAAATAATGATAATAATGATAACAAAGAAAATCACAGTTTTGCAATTTTTTTACATTCTATAATGGATTTAACTACAGTTTCGACACACGCATTAGTGAAACACGATGCATATATCTGTAGATTTCTGCAACTGTAGAGGACACGCCTATGACAAACACAAAATCAATTATTTGCGTCAAGCGGCACAGTAGTGAAACATGGCGAAAAAATACCGTAGGTTTTCCCCCTTCGAAAAGTGAGTTTGAAGGTAGTGAAACATAGCGAAAAAATACCGTAGGTTTTCCCTTTCGAAAAGTGAGTTTGGAGGTAGTGAAACATGGCGAAAAAATACCGTAGGTTTTCCCTTTCGAAAAGTGAGTTTGGAGGTAGTGAAACATGGCGTTAAAAACCGTAGATTTTCCCATAGCATTGTAAGGAGGATTGTGAAACATGGCATAAAAATGACATAGATTTTCCCAAAATTTGTGGTCGGGGTAGTGAAATGTGGCATAAAAATGACATAGATTTTCCCAAAATGTGTGGTCGGGATAGTGAAACATGGCGTAAAAATGACATAGATTTTCCCAAAATTTGTGGTCGGGATAGTGAAACATGGCATAAAAATGACAGATTTTCCCAAAATTTGTGGTCGGGATAGTGAAACATGAAATAAAAATGACAGATTTTCCCATTTTTGCGAGCGGAGTAGTGAAACACGGTATAGATATGACAGATTTTCCCAAAATTTGTGGTCGGGATAGTGAAACACGGCATAGATATGACAGATTTTCCCAAAATTTGTGGTCGGGATAGTGAAACATGGCATAAAAATGACATAGATTTTCCCAAAATTTGTGGTCGGGATAGTGAAACATGGCGTAAAAATGCCACAGATTTTCTCTATGTTTGTGATCGGTATAGTGAATCATGGCGTAAAAATAGCATAGATGTCCCCAAAATGTGTGGTCGGAGTAGTGAAACATGGCATAAAAATGCCACAGATTTTCTCTGTGTTTGTGATCGGTATAGTGAAACATGGCATAAAAATAACATAGATGTCCCCAAAATTTGTGGTCGTAGTCGGATAGTGAACATGGCATAAAAATGACATAGATTTTCCCAAAATGTGTGGTCGGGATAGTGAAACATGGCATAAAAATAACATAGATTTTCCCAAAACTTGTGGTCGGGATAGTGAAACATGGCGTAAAAAATGACATAGATTTTCCCAAAAATTGTGGTCGGGATAGTGAAACATGGCATAAAATGACAGATTTTCCCAAAATTTGTGGTCGGGATAGTGAAACATGAAATAAAAATGACAGATTTTCCCAAAATGTGTGGTCGGAGTAGTGAAACATGGCATAAAAATGACAGATTTTCCCAAAATTTGTGGGCGGGATAGTGAAACATGGCATAAAAATGACAGATTTTCCCAAAATGTGTGGTCGGAGTAGTGAAACATGGCATAAAAAGGACATAGATCTTCCCAAAATTTGTGGTCGGGATAGTGAAACATGGCATAAAAATGACAAAGATTTTCCCCAAATTTGTGGTCGGAGTAGTGAAACATGGCGTAAAAATGCCATAGATTTTCCCCTTCCATTATGAGCCGCGAGAGTCAATTTTTTCAGTGAGTTGTGAGTTAAGGTTAGTAAAAAATGGCGTAAAAAAAAAAAAAATAGATTATATATTCTCTTAAGTTATTAATTGGGGATTTAATAATTTATGTCAAAATCATACTGTAAATTTTGTTTTATTTCATCAATTCGTGAGGGTTCTAGTAATGAAATATGGCGTAAATACCCGTAGATTACATTCGAAATTGTCCATGAATCATTAAATACGAAATAATCTTTTCCCACTGAGGCGACTAGTCAAACAAGGCGTCAATAACCCATAGAGTTTTGTACACTTTTTCCTTCTGTTCAATTTAGTTACACAAATAGCTTAGATATGCTGTAGAGGTGAAGAAAAATCATGCATATAATTTCTTTTACGAAGCACATGCACAAAACGTGTAAAAGATCATATAAAATGTAGAAAATTTGAGCTTAGAAAAGTGTTATTGAAATTTATAACTGAATGTTGCATCGCATAGAATGCATGACACAGCAATACTATAATGATATCTTTTCAAATTTGAATTTCTTTGATAATCAATTGAAAACTCTCAATATTATTTTGCTGTCTCATGTCATCGACTATAAAATATATATATTGATAATCGTTGTGGCCTCTGTAGTTTAGTGAAGTCTCCCCCTGAATAAACGTAAATAGATCAAAAAGAAAACGTAAACATTTTGGTGTTGTAGATGTACTAATTAAAATTAATTGTGTTGTATTTCTATGCAGTTAATTGTTGCCACGGTGTTGTAGTTAAAATAATATATATAATTGTTTCTATATGTTGTGTATATGTATACGTAGATATATATGTATTGGATGCATTTAGATGTACTGTAGACAATCCCAAGGTAAGTCATCAGTCATTGGAATAGATATAAGGCCTAAACTTACGATTTTAACACACCAACACACAAATACACAAGCCACCCCCTTAAACTTTAGAAAAGAAATTCTCAAAGAAAACGGATGAGCGACTGCGGTTTCCCCGGAGGTTATAAAGAAAAGAAAAGATTTATGATTTTCATTTTCTCTCTCTCTTCGTCTTACCCTTTGTCTTTTTCTTCCTCTCTCTGTCTCCTTCTCTTTCTTTCTCTCTCTCTCCCTTTCTCTCTCTTCGTCTTGCGCTTTGTCTTTCCCTTCCTCTCTCTGATTCATTCTTTCTCTCTCTCTCTCTCTTTCTTCGTCTTACGCTTTGTCTTTCTCTTCCTCTCTCTGTCTCTTTCTTTCTCTTCCTTTCTCTGTCTCTTTCTTTCTCTCTCTCTCTCTCTCTTTCTCTCTTCGTCTTACACTGTCTTTCTCTTCATCTCTCTCTTTCTCTTTCTCTCTTCGTCTTACACTGTCTTTCTCTTCATCTCTCTCTCTCTCTTTCTCTTTCTCTCTTCGTCTTACGCTTTGTCTTTCTCTTCTCTCTCTCTCTCTCTCTCTCTCTCCTTGTCTTTCTGTCTCTCTCTCCCTCTTTCTCTCTCTCTCTTTGTCTTACGCTTTGTCTTTCCGTTTCTCTCTCTGTCTCTTTCTTTCTCTCTATCTCTCTTTCTATCTATTTCTCTTTCTCTCTCTCTCTCTCTATCTCTCTCTATCTATCTCTATCTTTATCTATCTGTCTCTATCTCTCTTTCTACTTATCTATCTGTCTTTCTGTATGAAAACTCTCTCTCTCTCTCTCCTTCTCTCTCTCTCTCTCTCTCCTTTTCTCTCTCTCTCTCACTCTCCTTTTCTCTCTCTCCCCCTCTCTCTCTCTCTCTCTCTCTTTCTCCTTTTCTCTCTCTCCCTCTCTCTCTCTCTCTCTCTCTCTTTCTCCTTTTCTCTCTCTCCCTCTCTCTTACACCGGATTGAAGCCAGGATGTTACAGAATTTTGTTTGGAATGCAAGAGGAAAACGGGGAGGAAAAGGAAGTGGTGGAGGAGGAGGAGAAGGAGGGGAGAGAGAGAAGGAGGGACAGAAGGACAGAGGAAGGAGAGGGGGAGGGGGAGAGAGGAGGAAGAGGGGGGCAGATGGAGAGGGGAGAGAGAGGGAGAGGGGGGAAGAAGGGAGGTGGTAGAAGAGGGGAGAGGGAGGGAGAGAGGAGGAAGAGGAGAGGGACAGAGGAAGGAGAGGGGGAGAGGTAAGGAGGGAGGGGGAAGGGAAGGTAGAGAGGAGGAGAGGGGGCGGGGACAGGAGAGGGAGAGGGGGAGGGGAGACACCCGGAAGGCAGTATTCGAAATCTTCAGAAAATATTTTGTTGTTCTGACTTAACGAGTTTTCATGTACTTTTGGGAGAGGGGAAAGAGAGGGAGGGAGGGAGGGGAGAAGGAGAGAGAAAGAGAGGAGAGGGAGAGAGAGAGGAAGAGAGTGGAAAGGGAAAGACAGTGGGGAGAGGGAGAGAGAAAGATGGGAGAGAGGAGAGGGAAGAAAGAGAGGAGAGGGAGAGAGAGAGAGAAAGAGGGAAGAGGGAGAGAGAAAGAGGGGAGAGGGAGAGAGAGAGAGAGGAAGAGGGAGAAAGAGGGAAAGGAAGAGAGTGGGGATAGGGAGAGAGGAAAAGGAGAAAGAATAAAGAGGGAGAGAGGAAGAAAAGAGGAGAAAGGGAGAGAGGAAGAAAAGAGGGGAAAAGAGAAAACATAGAGGAGAGACAGGAGATAGAGGAGAGACAGGAAGGAGATAGGGAGGAGAGGGATAGAAAAAGAAAGGGGGGAGAAGAGGAAGGGAGAGAGGGAGAGAAGAGAGACAGAGACAGAGAAAGAAAGAGGGAAGGAGGGAGAGAGGATAATAATAAAGATAACGAAAATAATAAAAATAGTAGTAATAATAACATAGTAATGACAATAAGATATTAATAATATTTACAAATTTACAACAACAATAATAATAATAATAATAGTGATAATGATACTGATAATAATGATGACGATAATAATAATAATAATAATAATAATAATTTCTAAAATTATTCTTCATCCATTTTCTTATTCCCATTTTTATCTTCATTTTCCTATTATTATTTCTCTCATAATCATTTCTTACAATCATTTTAATTATTATCATCAGTATCTTTATAATTATCGTTATTTATAATTATCATTATTGTTATCATCATTATTATCATTATTGTTACGTCAACTTCATTAATATTGTCATTATCATAAATTTTATTGTTTATTTTTATTTTCATTGTCATTTCTATCGTAAATACTTTTTTTCTGTATTTTTTTCTGTATATACTTTTAGTTTATTTCTCTTTCTTTCTTTCTTTCTCTCTTTCTTTTCTCTCTCTCTTTCTTTTCTCTTTCTTTCTTTTCTCTCTCTCTCTTTCTTTTCTCACTCTCTCTTTCTTTCATCTCTCTATCTTTCTTTCTCTCTTTCTTTCTCCTTCTCTCTCTTTCTTTCTTTTCTCTCTCTTTCTTTTCTCTCTCTCTTTCCTCCTCTCTTTCTTTCTTTTTCTCTCTTCTCTCTCTCTCTTTCTTTCTTTTCTCTCTCTCTCTCTTTCTTTCTTTCTCTCTCTTTTCTCTCTTTCTCTATCTCTCTTTCTTTCTTTTCTCTCTCTTCCTCTCTCTCTCTCCTTTCCCTCTCTTTTTCTCTCTTTTCCTCTCCTTCCCTCTCTCTCTTTCTCTCCTTCCCTCTCTCTTTTCCTCTGTCTTTCTCTCCCTCTCTCCCTTACTCCCTCTCTTTGTCTCTCCCCCCCTCCCTCCCTCTCCCTCTCCCCGCCCCGCCCACTTCTCTCTTTCTCTCTCTCTCCCCCTCCCTCCCTCTCCCTCTCCCCGCCCCGCCCACTTCTCTCTTTCTCTCTCTCTCCCCCTCCCTCCCTCTTTCTCTCCCCGCCCCGCCCACTTCTCTCTTTCTCTCTCTTTTCCCTCTCGTATTTCTTACCCACAAGGTAAACACACTCGTTACCATGGCAACGCGTTTATGAACTACGACGCTCCTTGGCCGTTCGTGGATTTACGTGGATTCATGTGGATTTATGAGGATTATCATCGATATATTTATCATTTTCCTTATAGTCTCTGAAGTTTTATTATTATCATTATTATTATTGTTATTGTTAATGTTATTATTATTATTATTATTATTAATATTATTATCATTTCTATTACTATTATTATCATTATTATCATTATTATTATAATTATTATCATTATTATTTTGATTATTATTATTTTATTAATATTATCAATACATATATTACTATTATTATCATTGTTATTATTATTATATTATATTATATTTTCAATATTCATCATTATCATTATTATTATTATTATCATTATTATCATTATTACCAAAATGTTATTATTATATTATAATCAATATTTACATTGTTATCATAATTATCATCATTATTATCATTATCATCATCTTTATCATTACAGATTTCTGTTGTACAAAAAAAAACAAAAAAAACTGTTTGTTGACAACTTCGGGGGAAACAGTCATTTATTTGTATCCAAGTGGAAAATGGAGGCAGATCTATATACATGTACACACACACATACACACATGTGCACACGTATACACACACGCGTAAGTAAAACACTCTTTCTTTCTCTTTCTTTCTCTCTCACTTACTCTTTCTCATTATCTCTTTCTTTATTTCTCTATCTCTCACTCTTTCCTATTCTCTCTTTGTTTCTCTATTTGTCTCTCACTCTTTCTTTCTTTCTCTATCTCTCACTCACTCTTTCTATCTTTCTTTCTCTATCTCTCACTCACTCTTTCTATCTTTCTTTCTCTATCTCTCTCACTCTTTCTTTCTTTCTCTATCTCTCACTCCTACTTTTTCTTATTCTCTCTCTCTCTTTCTTTCTCTATCTCTCACTCTTTCTCGTTTTCTTTCTATCTCTCATTCCCACTCTTTCTCGTTCTCTCTCTTTCTCTGTGTGTCTCTCTCTTCCTTTCTCTTTCCTTCACTCCCACTTTTTTCAATCTCCCTTCCCTTCTCTCCCTCTCTCTCTCTCACACACATACAAACATATCTACATACACATACACATACAAACATATACACATTAAAATAGTAATAACTATTAGATATATACAAGAAAAAATAACATTTGATACATATATACAAATACACATATATATACACACATATGTGTACACATATATATACATACATACATATAC